TCTAGTATTCAGTAATAATTGATTATATTATTTATAGTATTTTAGTAAAAATTAATGTTAATCATACAATTGTTTGTTTTTGTGATTTTAATTTTTTAATTATTTTTGTAAAAATTTTTTATCTCTACTAAAATTCTAAAGGGTATAACTTAAAATTAATTTACGCCCACGTTATTAATATATAGACATAGTTAATTAGCGCTATAGCGTTGTCTGCTATCACGTGATTTTGTTTGGTAAGATAAGAGTTACAGCATAGATTGTATTACTATGGTTACAGGGTAGGTGGGGTGGCCTATAGGCGCGCTCTAGCTCTAGCTCTAGCTCAAGATAGGCCTAGTGCCTAGACGCCATTATGCAAAAAGAGGCCTGTGAGGGTAAGTGCCCTTATGGCTGTTCCTTGTGTGATAAAAGTAAGCCTTAATGTTTACTGTTCCAGTGATCATGCACAATCATTGATCATTTCGAATATAGATAAACTGAATGAAAGAGCCAGGCACCGCACCGTGTCTGCAGAAATGTATGTGTGGGCTGGTACTCAGTCTGACTTCCCTGCAGTACATAATAGTGAAGAGAAGAGAAGGATCACTAGTAATATACAACACTTTACTCCTTCAACTGGTCAATGGATCACTAGAGGTACTACTGGTACTCCTCCATTAGGAATCATTGCCTACTGCTGTACTGCAATAGATGATCTATTGTATTATTTCGGGGGCTATTGTGGCCATCACAGTTGCTATCACAACAGTATTTCACAACTGGATACTGCTAGTCTTCAATGGAGAGAATTAGAACCAACTGATGCAACTAGACCAGTTATGAGGAGAGCTTATGGTGGGATGATATCATTTGAACGTAATGGAGTACACTATCTACTAATGATAGGTGGACTAGGATCTAAACCAGCTGCACAACCGGCTCATTATAAATACATTGAATCAGCTAATAAAGGGGAATGGTTTACTAATGAACACTCTATCTATAATATATCATCAAGTAAGATGTTGCATTTTTTGGGAACTTTCTAAGCACTGACTTCAGTTAAAGTTTTTTTTGCTGTGTTTGAGTACTACCATGATAAAAATGCATGGAATGAAACTTCTTTTAAAAAATTTTTAATGTGCCAGCCTTATTCCTTGTTAATCTTTGTTATGAAAGCTTCCATGCAATGAAAAAAATTGCGTACCAAAAGTTTTTTTATTCAGGAGTTCCACTGTACAAGCAAAGTTTTCCGATTTGTACGCCGGTTTATTGATTTTTAATTTTTCAATCTATAGGAGAATGGAGTATTCCTTTAATTATTGGTCATTGTATACCACCTGGTGAAAGCTTCATCATTGAAAAGATCAACAACACTAGAGCTGTTTTGTTTGGTGGAATAGAGGCTGATAATGTTAAGGCTACTGTTACTAACAATATTTATATATTAGAGATATCAATCAGCACTGTAGTATGTTAATTTACTAAAATTTACATGTATGTATGCACACATGCACATACACACACACACAGCACACACACACAGCACACACACGCACTAATGTCATTGTTAATGGATGTAATTATTTTAGTTCTGGCAGTGTGTAAAGAAACCTGAAGCAATAGACCGATGGCCTGTGGGTAGATACCTTCATGCAGGTGCTATTATTATGGCTGAATCAGACTGTCCTAGGCTAATGATAAGTGGTGGAAGGGATAAGAATTATGATACTTTAGATGATTGTTGGATCTTAAACATCACTCAACATTCCTGGATAAAGGTACAGTACGTGTGTGTATGTATACCGTGAGATACAAGTAGATTATTATTTATCCCTATTACAGTTAGATGTACCTCACTCTGTTAGTAAGAGAAATGGTCATTCTCTCTCAGTGTTAATTATGAGTCCTCATTGTGTTTGGATAACAACTGTTGGAGGAGTTGATGATAAATGTTGCACACTAGTCACTAATCCTGACATTGCTATGCTAACTAAACTAGGTCAGTGTATCATAGTTATATTGATGATGCATTGAGTAATACTTGTATGTTGACCATACATATTAAGGCTGTTTAATGTGACATAATAGCCAGAAATTGAGCATAAAACCTGGTTTTCATAAAGCCCTACAACAGCCTTACAACACCGTCGAGATTAGAAATCAGAATCTATACAACAGCTACAACTATATACCGTATAGCTCCATATTTTCATGTGTTCTAAATTTTTACTGAAAATTAGATATTTATGAATAAAATTTTCGTGAATTAACCAACACGTGAAGCTGTTACGATGGCAACCAGTAGTTTTTTGTAACTAAACTTTTTGTAATTATTGAACTTGGAGTTTCATAAAAATAACAAAATTTTATACCATAAAAATTTAGAGCTACATGTATATACAGTATATGAATACTAGGCTTTTGAGTAAATATACTCCTTAACCACCTTAGCTGGCATTAATTCATGTACTTTTTCTCACTAAGGGTTTTTTACATCTAGACTCTAGAGAAGTTTTTAGGTAGTATATATTTCACGTGTCATTTTAAAGTTTTTTTTTTGTCTCATTTACTAATAAATAAATAAAACTCATTATAATTTTTCTTTATGTAGTTCTCAACAGTAAAGGAGAGTGGACAGTAGGTGATACATTAGATACCAATGGTATGAATAATGAAGAATACCGTAAAAAGAAGTATCTGCAGGAACTAGAGGCAGGAAGAAACCCAAGAGAGGATATAGCCATTATGCAAACCATAGAAGCTTTTATGAAGAGTCTTGAAGAGAAGGAGAGTGAAATTCAATTTTATCATCAACAATTTGAGCAGAAGGAAAGAAAAAAATCAGAGAAAGAGCAAGAAATAAGAAGATATTGTTATCAGCTACAAGAGAAGAATAGGAAACATCAGGTGTTACTCCAAAAGAAGGATAGGGAGATACAGGTGAAACACAGGGAGCTACAGGGGAAGGATAGGGAGATACAGGAGAAACACAGGGAGCTAAATGAGAAGGATAGGGAGATACAGGAGAAACACAGGGAGCTACAGGGGAAGGATAGGGAGCTACAGGTAAAGGTTAGAGAGTTACAGGAGAAAGACAGGGAGCTACTAAGGGTCAGGCTCCGCCTGACTAGGGAGCTACAGGAGAAAGACAGGGAGCTACAGGAGAAAGACAGGGAGCTACAGGAGAAGGACAGGGAGTTACAGGAGAAGGATAGAGAGTTACAGGAGAAGGATGAGAAGCTACATGAGAAGCTACATGAGAAGGATAGGGAGCTGCAGGAGAAACACAGGGAGCTACAGGGGAAGGATAGGGAGCTACAGGTAAAGGTTAGAGAGTTACAGGAGAAAGACAGAGAGCTACAGGAGAAGGATAGGGAGCTACAGGAGAAGGATAGGGAGTTACGCCAGTCTCAGGATCACTGGGTTGTTAATAAAGATGAGGTGACTTTGACAAAGGAGGAGTTAGGAAGAGGATCTTATGCTGTGGTTACAGTTGGTAACTTTAGAGGTTTAAGAGTAGCTGTCAAGTCACTTCATAATATGATCATTTCAGATTATAATCTAGGTATCTTCACCAGGGAAATGACTATAGCATCACAAGTACGTCATCCTAACCTGGTCCAGTTTATTGGTGCAACTAAAGTGGGTCATCCTCTCATCTTGACCGAGCTGATGAGCACTAGTCTTAATCATGAGCTTCGCAAAAACCGATTAACCAATCAACAGATTCTGAGTATTGCTCAAGATGTAGCTTTAGGCCTCAACTACCTTCACCTGTTTAAGCCTCAGCCTATTATTCACAGAGATATCAGCAGTCCTAATGTATTATTAAAGCCTTGCACTGGACCTGCTGGTTATGAAGCTAAAGTAGCAGATTATGGCACAGCTAAAGTAGTGCAAGCTGAAAGTACTGGTACTGTTATGCCAGGTAATCCAGCATATGCTGCACCAGAAGCTCCTATTCCTGATCGACACAGTCCAGCAATGGATGTCTACAGTTACTCTGTACTCCTTATGGAGCTGAATTTACTTTGCCCACCAGAAATGACAACAGTAGAGAGAGCACAACAATCTGCTAGAGTCTCCTGGTCTCATATGAAGTCTCTCATACAAAGAGGACTTAACACTGATCCTGCAGATCGTCCTACTATGGCTGAAGTAATAAGGTCATTAAAAAAGATGAATATTTGAAATTTTGATATTCTATAATTTCTGCATACCTTTTATAGTAATTGTAGTTACTTTTAAACTTAATCTTAACTGCCTTGAATTATAGTTTTTGCTGCTACAGTTTATTAATTATTTTTATTTTCTGTATCTTTCTTATTTTTTGTGTGTTTAGTCTGTTCAGACTTTACTGTTTTACTGTTTGTTTTTTTTACTGTTTGGACTTTAAGTTAGTAAATTCTTTCACTTGTTATAATGTATGGCCTTATGTTACGTTAATTGTCCTGTGTAAACCAGCCTTGATGTAAATTAACTACTGAATTCATGCATACCGGTATAATAAATCTTGGCTCTGGGGGCCCCACACCCCTATGATAACACTACAGTGTATTTTTAGCTATATACCAAGGGGGTCATTTCCATATAGCCTGCCTGTAGTTACACTTTACATGTGCGACCAGGCAATCAAAATCTTTATGAGGAACTTGAGTAGTCAGCTTGATCAATATATCATATTTGATCACAATTTTATTTGGCCTTGATCACTTGATCTGAATGATCTCATCTTGATCTCAGTCGCAAGTGTAACTACAGACCATATGCAAATTAAGTTTTTATTGAACTGTACATATAAGTTTTGAAGCACATCCATGCACTTTTTACTGAGTTCCGTGTACTGAGTTTAAGTTAAGATCTTTAAATTAATTAAATTAAAAGATATGTCAAAAGTGACACTTAAATTAATAATAATTATCATAAAGAATGACTGACTAAAATTTGTAATCCCTGAATATATACATACCGCTAATCTCTAATCACTACACTAAAAATTTCAATAAAAATTAATATTCACGCCCACGTTTATTAATAGGTGTGGCCAATGTGTTTCTATAGCAACGTGCTATTTGCAAATGGCCTCTTCAACTGCACTGCAGTTTCCCAAAGGCCCTTCTCTGGTTGAGAAAGAAAGAGGAAAAGATGAAGAAGAGGAGAGCGTAGAGAATTCTCTAGTCCTACAAAAACTGTTTATATCAGCACTGAATGACAACAGGTAGGCCTGAACTGCACGAACTGTTTGTTGTACCAGAAAGATACACTACCACATGGCACTGTAGTACTCCATTGTACTGTGTATAATTTAATTGTACTGTGTATTATTCTCTCTGTCTTTTCACAGTGAAAGCTCCTGGAGAGAAATACTGGATATATTGGACTCGCTAAGCTCA